CTGGGGGTTTTACCGGGGGTTTTTCCGGGGGATCACGCCCCCGGGGGCCGGGGTCCAACCAGCCTCCCGATGGATCGGGGCCTGATCAACTGGGGCTATTTTGCTGGCCGCACGCAGTCCGACACGAGCCAAGCCCCGGGTGTCCGGCACGACTTAGGGACGTCCACTCTCCTTAAGGGACCTGGGGTTTATTGGCAATTCCCCTAATGCTTGATGGAGGCTGTTTGAACAGTTTTTGGGCCCCGACACTTATGGTGTTTTCTCTTAGTGTACCAATGCGCCCCCTACTTTTTATTGTGCGGCATTTTGCATCGCCTGCCCATTCTTTTACTTTCGTAGGGAGTGATTCTTGTGCAGATTTGGGACCATTCCTTCCAAGATTTTCCAAGTGTAGATTATTATATATCTCTCCCATCCTGCGTTCCAACGAGTACAAGTCAAGTTCTTCCAAGCGTTCCCCAGTAGTTACGTGCTGACAGAACTTATACATGCAGAAAGGATCTCTGTACACTCTCAGATTCTGCGATTCACCTCTTTGGTATGAATGTTAATTGTACAGCAGTATCCCAGCCTAGAGAAACAAGTGATTTGAAAGATCCATCATTGGGGCCTTGGCATCTCTCTTTTGAAGTTCTCGATTATCATCCTTCATTTTCCGTTGCACGAGCGATCGTGGACAGTTGTGATCCTTGAAAGTGGAGATCCTCAGACATTACTACTCCCAGTCCCGTACATTATGTTTTCGCTCTGTTGTAAGGCCGGGAGTCCAGTAGATACTCTGTTCTAGTTATTATCTCCTCCAGTTTTCCCATATCGGAGTAAGTTGGAATTTGTCCTCATTGAACATCCTATTGTTTTACCATTGCCCACTGGAAAACTTTTGTTTATATCTCTTGAGGTTAACCGCGTCCTCAGCAGATGACAGCTCATGCATAACCTTGGTACATCCGCAAAGGATGAAAAAGTGCTGTGGTGTAGATCTCTGTTTATGTCTGATATAGGATAAGGAATAAAATGGGGCGAGTACTGTGCGTGTGAACACTCAGCCTTCACTATGCAGCCTCCGATTAACTCTGTGAACCACTACTCCTTTGTGTTCGATTTGTTTAGTAGTTAAGATCCATCGCCCTCTTCCCCACTTCCCAGTTTGTCCTTTACACGTATTTTAAGCCTATTACGCTATATCGCATTTGTCAAATGCTTTTGCAAAGTCCTGTGTATATACATCTGCATTCGATTTCTTACGCAGGCAATCCAACCATGTCATAGTGATCCAGTAGTTTGTGAAGAAACAGGAGCGACCTGCCTGAACCCATGTTGCCCTGGATTTGTCAGGATTTGGAATCCAGTGATTTTGCAATCCGCCTTCATAGCACTCTTTCAAAGATTTTTATGATGTGGGAGGACGTCCAGAGCTATTAGTCCTATAGTTCTAGCTAATGCTATTTCTGCCACCTTTATTGAGTGGGCTAATACCGTTTGTTTAAGTTGACTGTGGAAATTTCAACCCCAAATGGGTCCAAGCTCCACCTCCATAGTGTACTTAGGGCCAACCGAGAGGGTTTCTTGCAGTGTCTTAATGAAACAGAGTTCCACGAGTCTGGGCCCGGGCTGATGCGTAGGCATGTTGTCAATGGCTTTATTCGAAATCAATCGAGTTTAGGGTAATGTCGGAAATACTGCATACATTTATGGAGTTTTGAGGCTCATATCATGAGAAATCATTGGTCGTCGCTCCTCAGAACCGATTAGGGTTCACTAAACAGAGTCGTACTGGATTCAATATTTCACTCATTTTCTTGTGTCGTCTATGTAAGTACCATCCTGTCAGAGTAAGTAGGGCCCGATACTAGATGTGGTAATTTGCTTGTTTTTTGGCATATGAAAAAAATAATTTTGAATTTCTTTCAATTTCACTATAGCTTTAAGCTCCTCTCCTTCTCCTGGTTCCTGTAAGAGCATTTAGCTAAGTTCGATAGTTTCCCACTTCCTCTGGTAAGCGCCCTCCTTTCGTGTATCATATATTCTAGCAACTCCTGAGGACTCAGTGACTCCCGTCCGTCTCTGTACGGAGCGTCTTTTTCTCTCCAGTTTACTCCTGCTCATCGTCTTTCTTAGGGGGAATATCCTAGAACATGCTTCGTACCAGGAATGTTGATCCTTTCAAGGCACTGTAAGGGACCATGTCAGTTAAAGACATCTTCCCAACATGTTCGTTTAGTACATGGTTTACCTGTCCCAGTTGATGTTCTGTTGTTGAAATTGTATTTTGTGAACACCTTCACAGTAAATGCATTCTGCTGTTCAGGACCCCTAAGCATGTCGTCTGGCTTCGATTAGATTGTGATCGATTAGATTGTTTATTCTGATGTCTCTTATCAGGTCACATCATTTTTGTGAAAGATAAGTTCAGTGTGTTTTCGAGTCTTGTTTGGCTCCCTACTGCTGTCTTAAGGTGTGTTTTTCGCAAGACTTAGTAGCTCATGGTTGTGTGACCTGTTCATCTGACGCTTACCTCCGGGATTGTTCAGCTGTAACATTATTTGCTACATACTTCCATTTGTATGCCTAGGTTTGAAATCATCAAGCATAAGATAGTTTGGGGATGGAGCTGGAAGGTTTTTCCAAGACAGTAAATCGTTTTTCAGTAGCTGTTCCTTGAACTGTGGGAGTTGCATCTGTGCTTGTAAACAACCTACAATGACTAGGTTTTGGTTCTCGATCTTTATTGATAGAACTTCAACTACCTCATTGTGTGTTCAGCAACTCTCCTGCCAGAAAAGGACTCTTCTTTGACATACATCCAACCCCCCTTGTTGCCGGTTTTTTTTCGTCGCACGCTAAAAAGTTGTAACCACTTATCCAAATTCACTGTCAAAGTGAGCTTTTTGTGTGCGTCTCTGCTGTGAAGGCTCAAACATGCATTAGACTCCTCTAGAAGTCCACTGATAAAATATATTTGTTGTTGTGGAGGTGGCTTAAGGCCCTGTATATTAGCAAAATAACAGTTGTATTCGGTTTTGTTGGGGGATTTGTTAATGTCAATCCAGTATTGTAATTCTGGGGCCATGAGGTGACCACTTGGCCTGCGCTACCAGTTCAACATCTCCAAGGTGGTGGACTATTTTTTGTATTTCCTTCCATTTTTCTTTTTTTCGTTTCCTGCCACTAAAAAATCACCTGAGTTGGGTCGTCTAGCTATCTATTGTTTGTCTTGTGGGTCGTGCCCTCCTGGTCCCTTTAGATGGTAATGCAGGGCACTCGATGTTGTAACCTGCTTCTGGAGACCGAGAGGAGTGGCACTTTTTTGATGGTGTAAGAAAGTACAGGAAGATGAACGACAACACTCCCTTTAGACAGAGGTCGCTACTTTTTTTTGGGATAGTCAAAGTTGCATGTCCCATTTTTTTTTCCCCTGTTATCCATGCTTACAGATGCCCCAAGCTAATATTTGCATCAAATTCACCTTTGGTTGAGATTGGTTGGGAGGTGGTTGTTCAAATTCTGCAGTTCTTGGACTGCACTAAAACCTCAGTATCCAAGCCAGGCCACCCCGTCTGGATTCCATCTACTTTCCCCAGTAGTAGGAAGAGGAGACTCCCTCTCCTACCATCTGTACTTTGGGCAACGGTCTTGTGTATGATGGTTGTAATATGTACCGTTTTTTGTGGGGTTTGGGTAGTTGACCCTAGAAGTCTGCATGGCAGTAAGCTGGGGCTGGGTCTGGTCAGCACTGGGGCTGGGGTGGGCTGGGTCTGGGCCAGCACCAAGCACAGAGGGTTATTGTGCTATGCCTGGGGGAGCCTGGGCCAGCACCAGCATGTGGTATTAGTGCTAGACTGGGGATGGGTCTGCTTAGGCACCATTGGGTGACTAATAGTTTAGATCAATTGTTGGGTAAGGACTTCGCATTTTTTGATACACTAGCCTTTCTCCCATTTTTTATATTATTTTTTGGTAACTACCAAGAGGTCATCCTTGTTTTCTTGAGTATTTATCATTTATTACTCTCCTTAGTACCTTTCTGATACCTGCCCAAAGTTCTACATCTTTATTGCACAACCAGAAGCACCTTGCTAGTTCGAGGTCATTTTTGAGGCTGTAATTTAGTCTAGTCAAAAAGATATGGGTGTTTGAAGAGCATAGTTGAATTTATTCTGGTTTTCTTCCAAGGATTTTTACATGGTCCCACTGATATGCTGTGCTGACATCCTGTCTGTATCCTATTTACACTGTATGCCACGAAGAAAACTGATTTCCACTTTAACCTTTTCATCTCTTGTGTGCCATTAATATCAAGATGTATTTATACGAACCCAGTTTAGCAGTAATGTGGTGGTGTGTAGGGTGGGTGTAGGGTGGGTGGTGGTGCAGGTGGTGGTGTGAGGTGGATGGTGGTGCACAGGGTGGTGTGGTGTAGGGTAGGTGTGGGTGCAGGGTGGTGGTGGGTGTAGGGTTGGGTGTGGGTGCAGGTGTGTGAGCCGGCAGACTGCCCACACTCCACACTTCACTTAGTTAGGCCTCGCTAACTCCCCCTACACTTCTAAGAAAAGATTATTTCCTTTCCGTTTAGTAAGGTAACGGTGATGCTCAATTTATGTATGCTGTGATTCCCTGCACCTCATGCTACCATCATTGTTCATATCTTATGACTAATAGTAGTTACTTATCCGTTATTAACACTTCACTGGACCTCTGGCAATAGTTTCGCTAGTGACAGTCGGCTTGTAAGATTTCCCCTTTCTTCTACACTAGATTGTACGCTATACTTTGGGGATAATTTAGATTACTCTATCTACAATTTATTCACTATGCCACTGCACATATATTATCCTTGTCCACTTCACTATTACTAAATAGATAATGGTGAAAGTTTTTCTTTTCGGCCACCTGCCTGTGGAATCACCATGTGATAACAGTTAAAAATATTATTTATTATTTATTATTATTATAATTATAATTATTCTAATAGTGGACTATACTGAGTAAACTCTCAACAGATTTGACAGTGCGAAGTGGGATGCAGTTAAGTTCCTGCAGTTGTCTGCTACTGAAGATGCTGCATCAGTGCTGGGATGCAGGAGGCGGGTGAGGCTGGGGGCTGCACACTGCGACTGGCAGCCATCCTGGTCACCACCATCTAGTACACCCTTGCTCTGCTGGTGTGGTGTGGACGATTAACTGGGTGTTAGCACCCGCACACCTCTTCATCAGGCGCATCGTATGTCCACTTTGGAACATGACAGTGACTCTCCTGAAGCTGGAGCCAATATAGAAGCCTGCCATTGAGAAGACAATGGTAAAAGGAGAGCTGTTGTGCTCGTCAGAGGTAGTGTGTGGATGATAGAACCTCTAACATAGATTGTCGGACTGATTGTTTATAAATCACGTTTACAGTCAAGGTTTAATCATTTAACTTTTTTATTACACTTGTCTAAAAAAATCTTATGAAATAACAAATACGGGATATGTACACTAATACAATATATGCATTTTGTCCACACCAGTGGATTAATCAAGTCACAAACAAATCTCCTAACAGAGAGTACAAGAGTATATTATAGGGAGCGTAGATACACGAGTCTGGTGGAGAATGTTGAGAATAGTTTGGATTTGAAAAAGATCTGCCCCGATGGCAAGTAGTTTGTTGCTATGTAGATAACAATGAAGGAATTGTCCTGAAAGAGGGTTCAGCATTGAACTTTTCGTTCTGTTGAGTAATCAAAGTCCACACCCTCTGTTTAGTTTATTTTCACCATTTTCAAAGGGCCCCACATCTGACACCTCGCCACGTACCATGTCTCCTGCTGTTTTCCTGACAAGTATTCCCGATCATTGTAGTGCCTTCCCTGTTTATCCCGCTTGGTCCTCCATTTTTTTTTGCACCAAATTCTCTTGTGTGGAACTTTGCAAACCCTTCTGCAGTCCAAGACATAAGCAATTCACCCCCCCGCTCTCTCCTTGTCTTACTGCTGACAGACCATGTCAAGAACTCAGTAGGTTGTGACACAGGATTTTTTCCCGTCCTGAAACCATGTTGGCTGCTGTTGATGAATCGTTCCTTTCTAGTGTTCCACCACTCTTCTCGATAATCTTCTCCATGATTTTGCATGCTAATACGTGGTCAGTGACACGAAGACCTATTGTTGTCTCAGACCCACAGAAACACTGATTTAACATCAGCTTGAAGGTTTCTGTCTTTCGACGAAACGTCATTCCACAGAGATCAATTTTCATCACTAAACGATGGCACAGTCCTATGATTTATTTTTATTTCCCAATGTCGGATAAAGAATAAGGAGAATACTGGGCGAGTCCCGGTTTTGGGAAACATCTATTCACAGTAGCAGCCTCGACTTCATCTTTGTTTTCAAATTAGATCCGTTGAACCACATTAAAGGTATGTATTAAAAATGCAGTGGCCAAACGCATAACTTATTGTAAAAATGTAAACTCTTTTACGTTTTTGTTAAACAATTGTGTCCATGAATATTAATGTTATATTTTTATTCTTCATAAGTTCTACTCATCTCTCGTCTCTGATAAAGCTCCTGAATGGTAACATCTGTTTTCTGCATGTCACAGCTGTGCTCACACAGCGGCTTATTCAAATTTTATAATTCCAAATAGACTCTGATAATTCTTCACCTACTTTAATCACACTTTGACTTGAAGCTACAGTGCTGTAAATTGACAGAAAAGTTTTACAATTGGAAATAAAGAAAATCAGTTGAATGTTCAAGATAGAGATTTCTTGAAGTAATTTTCCTTTTGATATTTTGTTTCTGTACTCTCTGAAGAAGTACAACTGCTAAAAGTAATCTTCATTATAAAGACTGTGTGACTACTAAAGAACAAATAATGCGCAGATTAGCTGAGGATAAACACGTTGACAATTCGCTTAATGTCCAATTAAGGTCATTAGGTTTATCTTTCTGAAGATGAAGTGAAATATTGTATGTTTTAATAACCACATATGTCTTGGTAATAATTATAAGTAGCTTCATCGCAAAAGATGACATTATAATGCATTCAAATTTTGGCAAGAACTTCTAAATACACTTATATTCTATACAAGATTATACAGTAACATTATAAGACTGAAGGTTATTCAAACTTTCTCAGTAGATTCTAATGCCTGGCAACTGATGTAACACCATCAACATGAACCGGGTTCCTAAGCTAGGACATTCTATGCAGTGAACCAGGAAGGAACTGCTTCAGATTTTCTCACCTTTGTGGACTGTTACTAAAAATTTACACCTTTGCTGATCAGTTTCGAAGTTAGATCCACTTTGTATAATTCTGTGGTCAACACCTGAAAGGTTTAGATAATGGTTTTCACAGTTCGAGTTATGCTCAACAACTTGTACTTATTCGTATTTCCAACCACATAAGTTCCATTATTATAAGCACAACCAATTCACTGCTGAAAATATAACATTATACTTTGAATTATCAAGTGTTTGTGCAATAATTTAATTTTCAAGTTTTCTTCTGAAATTATCAAACAATTTAAATTTTTCATCAGTTGTAAGTGTTGAACTTCAAACTTTGAAAACAACAGCAGCGGTTGTCTTTAATTAGAACAATCTGGATTGGTACATTATAATTACAAATCACTTGCAAATCTAATTTCTTCAAGGAAAGTTTATTATGGAATAAACCCATAATGTTCATTTAGGCTGTTGATATCACATGTAAAAACGATAGGACTTGCATGCACTTTAGGATCTCTTGAGATTCTCGTGAACTTATGTGCTCAGAGAAAATTAAGCTATATTTACGGACATTTTAGAGAGAAGGAAAAAATTAGATTACTACCGGGTGTATAAATCTGGGGCGGAGGAAAGAAGTTTAGGGGTGTCGTAAGGAAAGGCTGAACGGAAGGAATAAATGAGGTTTTGAGTGCTAGGATGCTTGTACACCCAGCAGGCTTAGTTGATTTGTTAACATCTGAGTAGTGGAGGAAAGTGCTTTCCGATTGACTGTTCTAGTTAAAGCAAGCTAAGTTAATAATCGATTCATGGAAAACTATTTAGCCTGACTTGAGTCTGGAGTTGGAATATAATGACTGCACGCTGAAGATTTTCTGAACAGTAATGATCAGCGCCCTTCTGGCAAAGAGTGGTTGAAATAGTGACTGTTAATGTGTTTTTTTTGTTTGGGTCATCCTGACTCGGTGTTAAATAAAATTATACAATAACTTAATTACGTCTAAACGTTTTCATTTGCTTGTCACCAATATACTGATAGTTAAATCTTAGCCAATTTTCGTGTTCTATCTGTGATGATTTTGTCAGGTTCTAAACACATCCCTATTAAGCTGAATCATGAATTTTAATAGATCTACAACACAGTAAAACATTTGCTTCAGCAAAATCTTTCAGCAAATTATCGTTGATTTCATAATTGTGAAGAATTATGATTATATATATATTATATATATATATATATATTATATATATAATATAATTATATATTATTATATATATATATATATATATATAAAAAAGTTGTGGATTTTTTCCACTGGGGATTATCCGTTTAGGAGCCTTCCACTGTGCGGTGTATCCGGTCTAGGACCGTCCACTGGGCTGTATCCGGTCTAGGGAAACCCCCCCCCTTCCAGTTTTTGGTTTTGGGGGGGGGGGGGGGGGGGGGGTATTTTTTCTGGGCGGTGTATCCCGGTCTAGGACAGCAGCTGGAGGGTCACCTTTTCACACTAGTGTTATTTTTCCGGTTTTTGACCATGACCTCGTCCATCGAGACCTACCTCACCCTTGACCCCCCCCAAACCAATAACCCCCGCCCACGACCCCCCCCACTACGCGACCCCCCCTTCGCGACTCCCCCTTCGCACCCCGCCCGCGCCCCCCGCGCCCTTCGCGACCCCTCCCCGGCCTTCTCTGCCACCTTCAAAAACACTCTCTTAAATCATTGAAAAAAAATACTCACAAAAATACTTTATTCATTTCCAAACAATCACTGAAAACTCTTCCAAAATAACATTTTGAATACTCCCAAATAAGATTTGACAGCTCTAATTTATCTGCACTTACACATTTCATTAAATTACAACTCATCCCTCCAAACTCCTCCCTCAGTCTCCAGACTTCACAACATTATCACAAAAACTAACTCAATCACTTTACTTTGAACATCACCAAAAAAAAAAAAAACACGAAATACTCCAAAAACATCATTCGAACACCCCCAAATCACCTCTGAATACTCCCAGAACACCTTCATAAGTACTCTTGCACATCATTTGAACACCTTCATAAGTACTCTCATAATCATTTGTACACCTTCAAAAACACCTTTGAATACTCACATAAACACCCTTGAACACCTTCAAAACACCTTTGAATAACCTCAAAACACCTTTGAACCACCTTCAAATCACCCTTGGAACACCTTCAACTAACACCCTGATCACCTTCAAAAAATTGAAAACACACTCAAAACACCTTTGAATCGAGCCTTTGAAACATATCAAACACTATTTGCGTACTCCCATATTAGATTGACATCTCTAATATATCTGCACTTACTCAGTTCATTAAATTACAACACATCCTCAGTCTCCAGACTAGGCATCTTCTCGTTTTTACCCTTGTTAGTTCATTAAAGTTATTAAGTGACACAATACATCAGAAAAAAAAGTCACAAAACTAACTCAAACACTTTACTTTGAACACCCCCCAAAACACTCTCATAATCATTGAATACTCACATAACACCATTGTACACATCAAAACACCTTGAGGAAATAGCGTTTTAAACTAATTTCTATCACAACCCACCTTATATCATCTTTTTTTTCTCGGTATCTCTAGTTCGACACAACACACACACACCCACATCCCCAACACCCACAATTTTTCTCTCGTTTTAACTAATGTCATCACTGTAAACAGATTTTCCACAAAAAAAAAAACTCTATACAACCTAAACACACTCGCCCGAACACACCCCACAAGACCCACAACCCACAATTTTTTTTTCCTCGTTTTAAAACCTTTAGTTCATTAAAATTAATAAGGGGGCACAGCACAACAGAAAGTCCAAAACAACAACCCCCAACATCCCACAACCCACAGCACCCCCACAACACCCACAACCACAACACCCACTACC